CAAGGTATAATGGCGGGTATTTGGGGGGTCTAAACCCTAAACCCGGAAACCAAAACCCTCAACCCTAAGCCCCAAACCCCAAACCCTAAACCCACCCTAAACCCTAAACCCTAAACCCTAAACCCCCAAAGCCCTCAACCCTAAACCCAAAGCTCTCAGGATCGCTAGCGGCATCCTCCTCGCCTACCGCCTCGTCGCAGCGGCACTCCTCGTCTTTCGGTCGGATACGAGGGCTGGGGCTGGCTTCGGGGTTTCGGGGTGCAGTTTTTTTTGGGGGTGCGGGGTTCAGGGTTTTAGGGTTTAGGGTTTAGGGTTTAGGGTTTAGGGTTTAGGGTCTAGGGTTTAGGGTTTAGGGTCTAGGGTTTAGGGTTTAGGGTCTTGGGTGTGGGGTCTCTTTATTTTCGGCGAACCTAACCTCGCAGCGTTGACAATTCAACTCTTCGCTCTTCGGTGGTTGCAGTCTTGCGCCAGGCAGCTGACCATAACTCAGTAGCTGAGTGGATACACTTTAAATTTTTTGGGATAATATTTACCTACTATAAAACTGAAAGTGTACACTTTTCTGGGCTTATGAACTCAGCAACTAAGATAAGAAGTTGCGGTTTTCAAAGGATTGAAGCCTTTTCTTTTCTGTTGCGGCCTAAGCTCTAAACCCTAAACCCTAAACCCTAAACCCCTAAACCTCTAAACCCCTAAGCCCTAAACCCTAAACCCTAAACCCCTAAACCCTAAACCCTAAACCCAAAGCTGTAAGCCCCGAACCCTCATCCAACCTGCCAACCCAAAGAAGACCCTCAAGCGCGATATGTCCCAATCTTCAAGCCTCTGTCCGAAACATACCCAGAGACTCCAAAATCCCTGAATTAAGGAACATACCTTAAATTATAGTAGGATCCTACTATATGATTTAAGGTCTATTCCTTAATTAAGGGACATACCTTAAATTATAGTAGGATCCTACTATATGATTTAAGGTCTATTCCTTAATTAAGGGATATACCTTGAATTATAGTAGGATCCTTACTATATGATCTAAGGTCTATTCCTTAGTTGAGGGGATATTGGAGTCTCTGGGTAGAGCCCGAGACCCGACCCCTTTAAGAGGGCGGCGCTCGAGAGTGCCTCGGAGTTCAGGTCTTCGTGGGCACTTTCTTCCTGGTCTACACCGCCCCTTGCCTTACCAGGGTTTAGGGTTTAGGGTTTAGGGTTTAGGGTTTAGGGGCCTTACCAGAGAGGGGGGGGTCGGAGTAATAACTACCGCCGCTACTTTTTTAGGTGAAGCCAAAAATGGGTTACCGCAATATGACGCGTAGGGGGTCTTTATAATTATTCTGCGATCTTGTACCCCCGAAAAACACCATTCGAACAACTCAGGCCCCTTGCCTTAGGACTTAGGAGCTGCCGCTGAGGGCCTAATAAGCCCCTTTCTCGAGTATCGTTACAGTTTGAAGCCCGACCTCAGTCGAATCATCTAGCTTTCTAATTTTCCTAAACCCTAAACCCTGAACCCCAAACCCTTTTCCCTAAACCCTAAACCCTAAACCCTGAACCCTAAACCCTAAACCGCCAGCTTTGAGCTTTGATAGAGAATCTGCTGCTCAATGGAACGATCCCGTGCGGTGCGTGGAAGTTCCTCAGCTCGAGGTCAACGTCACCGAGCTGATCCTGAATGCCGTGGCTTTGGGAATCATCCTGGACCCCTCTATTGGGTTTAGGGTTTAGGGTTTAGGGTTTTTTCCAGGGGCTTTTAGGTTTAGGGTTTTGAGGGGTTTAGGGGTTCGGGGCGTAGGGTTTGGGGGTTGAGCGATCTGCAGGGATGGTTGTTCAGGCTTCCAAAATAGCGTCCTCCACTCAAGTCTTCTGCAGACCCATGTAGTCCGGATCAATCCGTCTAGGACTCAAATTCGGGTCCCCCAGGGGTTCTATGACGGGGGACCCTAAACCCCAAACCCTAAACCACCCGGTTCCTTTGAGGGTTTTTAAAGGTTTTTAGGGTTTTTACTACCGGATCCCAGGCCCAGAAATAGCAAAGAACAAGAGCTGCCACAACATCCCAAGACACCACGCAGCACCGAACACGGAAAACAACGAAGTCACCAGAACATAGGCGATAATAGCCATATAGTCGCCTGGTTAGAAGTATAGAAGCCCATTAATACCCGTTATAGCAACCTGACAGTAACCCTATCATAAAACCCAAAACCCTAGACCCTCAACCCCAACCCTAAAGATCCAAAGCCGTAGTCGCGGAGCCGTCATCAGGACATTGACAATAACCCTATACTATAACCAAACCCTAAACCCGAAGCCCTATAACTAAGCTCTATACTAGAATCAAACCCTAAACCCTAAGCCCTATAACTCAGCCCTATACTATAATCAAGCCCTGAACCCTAATCCCTATACTAGAATTAAGCCCCAAAACCCTGCAGCAGGACATTGACGACCTGCTCTTCGATGCGTTGGCGACAACCCCGGGCCGCCACCTCGCCCCGGAGCCGGCAGAGGTTTAGGGCTTCTTCGGGGCTTTTGGAAGGGTTACAAGAGGGGTTCCTATGGGGCTTTGGGCTTTTGGATGTGGGGTTTGGGTTTGATTCGGCGACGTTTTTTTGGTTTGTTTTTTGGTGCTTTTGGGTTGAGGGTCTAGGGGTTCAGGCCGGCTGGAGACGTTTGTTCAGGGCTTAGGGTGGAGGGTTTGGGCGAGTTGGAAGATCTGCCTTACTTGGAGGATCATGGGACTTAGTAAGTAAGGTTATAAGTCCCTTAATTGGGGTTATAAGCAAATAAAAGTATAGTTACCTTAATTATAACCCTACGTACTAAGTCCCAGGATCCTTTACCTAAACCCCTAAACCCCTAACCCCTAACCCCTAAACCCTAAACCCTAAACCCTTAAACCCTTAAACCCTAATCCCTAAACCCTACTTGCTAAGTCCCATGATCCTGTAAGTAGCCAAGGTTCACCAGCTGGATCCTCTACCGATGCCTCCTATGAGGCGCCTTTGCAGCCGGATGAAGAGCAGCTTTAGGTCGCTTTGGGTTTAGGGTTTAGGGTTTAGGGTTTAGGGTTCAGGGTTTAGGGTTTAGGGTTTTAGGTCGCTTTGGGTGGTTGGGTTGTGGGAAAGCCTACTAAACCGATACCTCAGAGGTTTTGACGTTTTCAGGTTTAGGTTTTTGGTCCTGGTTTACTGTAGGGCTTCAGGTTTAGAGTTTAAAGTTTCACGTGCAAGCTTTCGAAGGGCTTCATGTCTCATCCCCAAGCCCGACACCAGCGACCCACGAAACGCAAGGCCTCTTCCGTCCGGGCCCTCTGTCCTGCGGATTTAGGGTTTAGGGTTTTTAGGGTCGGAAACTTGCCAGCGCCCCTTCCGAAACCCGAGCCCGAAACCAAGCGCGAAAGTTCGCCGGATACTTTGCAGCACGGTCAGTAGGGAAGAGTTCGGGTTGGACTACTCAGATACTAATAATATAGTGGCCTTAATACTTAGAATAGCGTTTGGGGGGGGGGGGGTATTTTATACCACTGCTATAGTAAGGAGCCCCCAAAACTCTATTCTAATTGTGAAGGCCCCTACATTACTTTGTTCATGGGAGTCGCTGGTGTTCAGAGAGCGAAAACTTAGAAAGGACCCTTCAGGTCCGTCTTCCCTGTACGGATGCCACGGTCCGACAGCCACACCCACACAGAAACCTCGGGTTTCGGGTTGAGGGTTGAGGGTAATATGGGGGCCTTAATAATTAGAATAGGGTTTGGGGTATATCATAAGTATGCCTTCATTATGATAAGGAGCTCCCAAAACCCTATTCTGCTTCTTAAGGCCCCTAAATTACACTGATCAAACTCCGGTCCAAATTTTCCGCCTGCACTCAAAGCCCACTCCACCTTTCTTACGACAGGTTTGGCAAATCAAGCTCCCCACCGCTGTCTTATCCCGTCTTTTGCGCAATTTAACGTAGATGGGATGTCCCGGAGTTTTATTAGAGTCTGCTCGATTTTCCGTTGTGCAGCAAGAACAAATGCTGAAACGGATCCCTAAACCCTAGAGCACAAACCCTGAATGTAGGGGCCTTCATAATTACCTACACTATCTTGGGGGTTCCTTTTTACAGTTATACTATATTATACCCCCAAAGCCCTATTCTAATTATTAAGGTCCCTACATTATCCCCCAAACCCCAAACCCCAAACCTTAAACCCTAAACCCTAAACCCTAAACCCTAAACCCCAAACCTTAAACCCTAAACCCTAAACCCTAAACCCTGAGGCCCCACAAGGCCTTCAAAGATCCCCCGAAGAGCCCAAGCTCTTGACCCGAGTGCAAGGCGCTGGCGTGGCGCAGACCTGAAGTCGGTGTGCATGAGCCGCTGGAGCTTAGCTTAGGGTTTAGGGTTTAGGGTTTAGGGTTGAGGGTTTAGGGTTTAGGGTTTAGGGTTTAAGGTTGAGTTTAGGGTTTAGGGTTGAGGGTTTAGGGTTTAGGGTTTAGGGTTGAGGGTTTAGGGTTTAGGGTTTAGGGTTTAGGGCCGCTGGAGCTTCGAAAGGGTTTCCGATAACGGTCTAGGGTTTTGGGTTGAGCCTTCAGGGCTGAAGGGTTCGGGGTTTGGGGTTATTCATTCAGGGTTTTGACGCTTACGGGCTTGGGGCGAGACAGGTGGGTTGTTTCAGGTGGCTCTAAGCACGAAGCCCCGCAGGTAAGCCCTTAAAGCCCCGGAACCTACACCGCACATCCTTCAACCTCCAACCTTCAAGCCAAACCCCCTTAACCCCGAACCCTAAACCCCTAAACCCTAACCCCTAAACCCTAAACCCTAAACCCCTAAACCCTAACCACTAAAACCCCGCTTCTCTACAGAGGGCTTGGGTGTCTGTGGCTTCGGGTGTTCGGCAGAGCTCGAAGGCCAGGAGGCTGCTGCCTTGAAGGCTGTGGATCAAGGGGCGTCGGGTTTCGGGTTCATGCAGGACTGTGTGGTGCTGGGATTAAGTTTCGGTTTAGGGTTTAGGGTTTAGGGTTTAGGGTTTAGGGTCGTAGGGTTCGGGGTTTACTTTTCTGTCTGGTGCTTAGTAGGGAATGGGGGAATGGGTTTTAGTTTTAAGGGACTATCATACGGGTCCATTCCCCCATTCCCTACTAAGCACCAGACAGAGGATGGGCTGGAAGGTTTAGGGTTTTCGGTTGAGGATATGGGGCTTGAAGGGTTTTGGGGTCTCAAGGTTTAGGGTTTGGGTCGGGGGGTTGGGGTTTAGAGGTTTTGGAGCCAGGGCTCAATCCCTCACCTCAAGCTTGGAGTCCTAAAGCCTCAGATACGAAGCGATCGCCCAAACATGCCAAGCAGAAGTGGAACATGTGAACCCTGAGCTTTGACCCAACAAGGGGCGCTAAACCAATCCAGCAAAGTAGATATATGAAGTCATGTCTGCGCGTCGGGGTTGTACGACGAAGATATTATTGATAGCTATGCTCCTACAAAGCTCTCGAGGCCCGTGCTAGTTTTCAAGAGGTAGCCTTTGTTTCAAAAGGTGTGTGCGCGCACAAGCGACTGGCGAAACCCCTGAGCCTGAAACCCTAAAGCCTTGATGCTTAATCCAAAACCCCAAAACCCTGCTCCCTAAGCCCTTGAACCCTAAACCCTGAAGCCCTCAAGCCCTAAATCACCACGCCTAAACCCTAAGCCCTGAACCCTAAGCCCTGAACCCTATAGAGCCTACAGCTCTCTTTCCCTCCTTAAACACGTAGGCTTTGATCCCGAGGCATCCTCATCCCTGGCATGACGATCATCGTCTACCTCACCATGCTGGAGCCGGATTTAGGGTTTAGGGTTTAGTGGCTTAGGGTTTAGGGTTTAGAGTGTGGAGTCGTAGCATGAACAAACAACATCATCGCAGATAGTATAGTATGGTAGAGAATGAGGTGATATCAAGCAATACCAGAAAGTGTCGGAAAGCATCATCTTCTGTCATACAGTAGCAGATGTGTCGAAAAACACCAGTTTGCGTCAGCATATGACAGTGCGAGGTTTCAATTGGGCATGAGTTGGCTTTTATCTAACTTCATGCGATGTTGCTTTATCTGATTTTGCGCAGTGTAGCAGGTTTTGCTGTGATGTTGTCTAGCGCATCTGCGTACCATCTTTCTTTCTGTCTGTCCTGTTTATCTACCTATCTGTACCTATCTATCTGCCTATCCACCGTCTGTCTACCTATCTGCTTATGTACCTGTCTGCCTACCTGTCTATCTATCTCTTTATCTATCTGTCTACCTATCCATTTATTGATCTACCTATCTACCTATCTACCTGTCGCTGTGTCTATCTAGCTATCGCTATCTCCCTAACTGGCCACTGCCTAACTGTTCATTTCTCCATCTCTCTTTCTGCCTACTATCCATCTACCGAGCACACGCGAAATCTCTCAGTCTCTCCCTCTCTGTCTCTCTTCCCTCCCACTCTTTCTATATACAGCCGTAAACTGTTGCAGACATCTATGTCCGTGCACTTTCCTTCATTATGTAGGCCTAGCTATATGTAGGCATGGACACGCGCACATGCACACACACGTACATACACACATACATGCATACCTACGTACATAGATACATACATACAGACCACATGCAGACCTACCTACATGCCGACCTTCCTACCTTACCCGCCTACCTCCCTACCTGCCTGCCTGCCTGCCTGCCTGCCTGTCTACCTGCCTACCTACCTATGTCTGTGCACTCTTTGCTTCGTGGATCCTTACATTGTTGCGTGGACATTTACATGGTACCCCACTCAAAAAAGGACCTGCAATTTGATTTCCATCACGGGCTGTTCGAAACATTTTATCTAATATCACACAGGTCAGCATCTCTGAGTGTTTGTACAGAAAGCAATAGCTTGGATAGTCCTGCCCCAAATCCAAGAACCAGTAGTCTTTTTTGCATTCCCGATTGCGTGCACAATGGTGCACGCAGACGCACGTACTTCCATACATCCATACCTAGCATGTATACATCTTTACGATGCACAGATATTTTTCATATACATATTTTACAAATCCACATATATACATATATAGATGTGTTCATATGTAGGCATGTAGATATGTACATATGTGGACATAGAGACATATATACATATGATATGTACATCTAGACATGGGCACACATACATGAATACAAATGTACATATGTACAGTATACAGGTATACTTCTATACAGATACACGCACGCACACACACATACACATATATATATATATATATGCACAAACATACATACATACATACATACATACATACATACATACATACACACACACACATACATACATACATACATACATACATACATACATACATACATACATATGTGTGTACATATACATACATACATATGTATATGCATGTACATATATATGTATGTATATATATATATATATATATACGACATATATACAGACATACAGATGTATATATAAATGTATACGCATGTAGTTAGTGTATGTATATGTGTTTATTTACATGTATATATTATATCTATATATACACATACACATACATATACACACATATATATATATATATACACATATATATATATACACGTATCATGTACACTTAATGTTTACCAGTCTCTGGATGCGGCCAGCACATATACGCAGACTCAGCAGACGAAGCGCAGCAGGACCCTTTCGTCACCTTGTTGAAAGACGTGCAGACGACCATGTGCGGAGGATACCAAAGCCTTGTGGCCGCTGGCGGGTGATTGTTGGGCTACTAGCGTGGTGCGTAATTCAGGGTAGGGCGTGAAGGTCCAAACCCTAGACCTTAAACCCTGAACCCTAAACTGTTTGGGTTTAGTTGTTTCAGGTTTGCGGTTCAGAAGTTGAGGGTTGTCGTGTGTCGGGTTTATGCGTAGCACTGTGCAGAGCTTCGGTTTTTTGGAGGTGTAGTTTCGGTGGGGGATTCGCAGATCTTTATACTGACCGCAGCACGTACTCCTGTTCGGGCTACTAAGTGGGTACCATTCTATCGCAAAAAGCAGGTACAGCAAGCACTGATGTCAGCAAATAACTTGTCTGTGTGCAGTCACCTGCATCCTGAACCATGAGGCTTATTCTGGACAATATCTAAATCCTACCCTAAACCCTAAACCCTAAACCCTTATACCTTAAGCCCTTGACTGCGGCCCTGTGGCAAAGGTTTCGTGTGGGATGTGGATTCCCGACGTGTCGTCCTCATGGCGCCGACAGCCGGTGGCGGCTGGGCGCCTCGCCAGCGAGCGTGGGGAAAGGGGTGAAGGGCTTCAGGGTTTAGGGCTTATAGGGTTTATAGGGTTTATGGGGTTTATAGCGTTTTTAGGGTTTATAGGGTTTATAGGGTTTATAGGGTTTATAGGGTGTCCCAGCCGCGAAAAACCCACAAGCCTTTTCCTGGGTCCTTGTTAAGGGATTTGATTTAAGTTACCATAATAAACCATATTATTGACTATAGATCCCTATTCAATCGGGATTTTTAGTACATAAATATGGTTCCTTATTATGGTAACTTCAACTAGATCCCTTAACAAGAGCCCAGTTTGCTGGATTGCTACACCCTGCGGACTGACGTTCGGTCGACAGCTCACAGGAACATAGCATGCAGATGGCTGGAACGAGAGCTGTTCAAAGTGTATTTGTGGTCTCACTTCAGAAAGGGCCCTAAACCCTACATCATTTGCAACACAAAAGGGATGTTGACATTTCGGATGGAAAGCCGACCGGTCAACAGCTTGTCACGCTTGGAGGGTTTGTAGTGGTGTTGAAAAGGGTAGTCTAGAGGCTTTGTCAGGGCATTATATGTTTTCTTCTTGTAACATTGGTATTTGCAAGGTTCTATAAGGGTTTCTGGCTAAACCCTAAACCCTCAATTCTAAATCGTAAATTCTAAACCCTCTGCCTGCTGGGAGTGGTGGTTTTGGTGATGTGGTCTTTGTGAGTTTGTGCGTATCTTGTGGCCTGGGAAGGATATTGCTTGCCACAATCTCAGAGTAGTAGACTCCTTTGTTGCATAGCAAATACTTCGGGTTTAGGGTTTAGGGTTTTGGGTTTGGGGTTTAGGGTTTAGGGGACATTTTAGCAGAGGAAATTACACTACTATAGGGCCCAGTACTATTTTTGAGGTTCCTTATTATGATTATAGTATCATATACCCCAAAACCCTACGCTAATTATTAAGGCCCTTACATCGCAACCCCAAATGCTCAACCCTAAACCCTAAACCCTAAATATCCCTAAATCCTAAACCCCAAACCCTTAACCCTAAACCCCAAATCCTCAACAACCGGCGCCGTGGAACTCTCGGGGGACTCTCGGAATGGAGCCCCCTTTTTTCGGGTTCGAGCTCGCGCTGGGTCCGGAACCATGTAGCCAGCCAGTACCCTCTTTAGGGTTTGGGGTTTGGGGTGTAGGGTTTGGGGATTTGGGGTTTTGGGTTTAGGGGGTTTAGGGTCTGATTGTTAGTCATAGACCTAAAGCGAAGCCTGCATAATTTGCCATGCAATTCCTGAGGAGGTTTCCTCACTAGTGGAACATACCCCAAAACACTGTTAATGTGAGGAAGGCGCCTATATAGCAAAAGAAGCCTCTTAAGCATCCATTCAACGAACCCTATACTGATTGTTAAGGCCACTAAAGCAAACCCATAAAACTCTCTGTCAATCTCTATAAGACTGTTGAAAAGCCTTATTCCACTTATTACGGGCCACCTCCGAAAAAAAGAGCGTACGAAGCCCTAGAAGCGCATGTTATTAAGGCCCCTAAACCCCTAAACCCTACACCCTAAACCCTAAACCCTACACCCTAAACCCTAAACCCTAAACCCCATGTTTGCTTCAGGAAGCCGAAGCTCAGTCCATCAGGACCAGGGCCATCGACGAGGCCCAGAAAAATCTGGGGGTTTCCGAAAATAGGGGACCCTAATATAGTACCCTAAATAATAGGATCCTTAATATAAGGACCCCCATAATAAGGTACCCCTGATTTTCGGAAAATCCCATGCTCCCTCGTAAGATGGATACACGGTTTAGATCTTTTGGTAAGTGTTTAGGGTTTAGGGTTTAGGGTTTAGGGTTTATAGCTTTTGGTAAGGGTTTAGGGTTTGGGGTTTAGGGTTTAGGGTTTCGGGCTTAGGGTTTAGGGTTTATAGCTTTTGGTGGACCCAAACCCTATTCTACTTATTAAGGCCCTATATGTTACACTGTGGTTAGGGCTTCTAGGTATCATGGCCGGGAACATTGTAATCCTGTGCCGTTGAGCACTGTGCGCCCTTGTGACATCTAATTACATCTTTTGAGACGTCGCTTGCCGTGGTTGCCGGATTTTTGGAGCTTATCCTAAACTTAACCCTAAAGCATAAACCATAAACCCGAAGCCCTGATCCCGAACCCTAGACACAAAACTCCAAACTCCTAGACCCTGATCGGGAACCCAAAACCCAAAGCTCTCATCCCGGAACCCGAAACGGTTTAGGGTTTAGGGTTTGGGGTTTAGGGTAACCCCAAAATCCCAAAATCCAACATCTCCCCGAAACCTACACACCCAAGAACCCGAAACCCCAAAAACCCAAAACCCAAAACAAAACCCCAAACACCCACACACCCCTAAACTCTAAACATTGCACTTTGAAAAAAAACCTAAACCCAAAACACAAACCCAAACACCCAAAAACCCAAACACCCAAACATCCCTAAACCCTAAACCCTAAACCCCTAAACCCTAAACCCTAAACCCCTAAACCCAAGAACCCGAAACGCGCACCCGGGAGCAGAAGCATTTCCAGGCAGAGCTCTTCGAGCCGGGATTCGATGAGAGCCTTGGACAGGGAATAGTATAGGGGCCTGAATCAGAATAGGGTTTAGGGTTTAGGGTTTAGGGTTCCTTTAAAGGGTATCAGAGTAGGGTTCCTGTAAAAGGTTTACTACAAGGGTTATTATATTAGGGTTCTAGCTTCCAAGGGGAGATGTACTCGGTGCAGGGCTTAATGCAGGGGCTTGAATAATTGGAACAGGGGTTTTTGGGGGTAGAGTATACTGTAATCACAACAAGGAACCCCCAACATAGTATAGGTAATTATTATTCAGGCCCCTATAGTAGTACACCTCGACTGGCAGGGTTTGTGCTGGCCCTTGCTTTTAAATGGAGCGTCAGTTTTGAATCCTCTGAGCACCTCAGTTTCCTTAGCCCGTTTGCCTAAACTCCACGGCTGCCCAGTGACGATGCAAAATATGGCGTCTGGGTGGATGACGTGGCCCGTCTTGCAAGGAGGAACCAGTGGTGTGCTTCAGCTTTCTCGTTCAAGGTTCTACCCTTGATCACTATTTCATACTGGTGCCTACCTTGATCACTATTTCATACTGGTGCCACCGGGGGTGCTCCTGATCTTCTGCTGCTGTTGCGTCTGTAATCATCATCATCATCATCATCATCATCGTCATCATCATCATCATCACGACCGGTCTTGCTCGCTGTTATTCGCCTCTTCTGGCTTGGTCTGGGTGCCAGGCAGTGTAGGTTGTGCAGAGTTTGTAGAGGTGAAGCGGAGGCTGCCCAAGGACAGGTGTTTCCCGAGGTGAAGGATAAAACCAGCAAGCCATACACGTAGCTCATGTGCGAATTGTGCGAAGGAGTTTTGCGCTGCTTACCATTCTTGCTGTTGTTATTTTCAAGTGCTCTTACCACTACTTCTGTTAGTACTACTGCAGTTATTATTACTGCTTTACTTCTTCTTAGGATCACTAGCACTGTTGGTAAAATCCTAAACCCTAAACCCTAAAACCCAAAACCCTAAACCCTGAACCCTAAAACCCAAAACCCTAAAACCCTAAACCCTAAAGTATCTGAGACTTTGGGCAGTCCGCCGAAGTCCTCCGCCAGGTGAGCGAGCTGCTCGGCACTCGATTGCTGCAGCTGAGCGACGTAATCGACGAAGAAAATCCGCCTTTTGGCTTAGGGTTTAGGGTTTAGGGTTTAGGGGGATTTAGGGATATTTGGGGAGCTTTGAGGGGTGTAGGGCTCTGGGGGGTAGGGTTCAGGGACGTGCAGCCCCGAGGGCTCTTCGCTTTCAGCTGGGCAGCTGCCCCAATCCGTGATCCGTATCTACTCCGAGTTTTGTTACATGGGTAGTTCTCTAAACTAGGGTCTTTTTTTAGGTCCCCAATATAGTACGGCACCCTTATAAAAAGTACTCCCAAAGGGACCCTAATTTAGAAAACTACCTACATCTATCGCGTGTAAGGTCGTGTGATGATATTGCCGCCAATGCCAACGACCCCGAAGCCGAGCCGGAGGACCTGTCCATGTTGAGATACCTCAGGCTGGGTCTCGCAAGCTTTTCTTTCAGAGTAGGTCCTTACCAAGACAGGGTTTCAGTGCACACTGACAGGCTTTCCAGCCACAGCGACGCTTTTTTCTTACACGGGGGAATCACCAAAAATGCAGGATTTCGGCTAGTGAAAATGGCAAAATGGCAGCGCGCTTTTCCATGCGGGGAATCTTCATTTTGGAGGATTTAGGCTCTGAAAATGGCAAAATGGTGATTCCCACGCGTCCCCTGTCGACTCTCCCGCCCACACGGGGGAATCACTATGTTGAAGGATTTCGGCTGTGAAAATGGCAAAAGACCAGTTCAGAGGCATCCACGCCGAAAGACCAGCTGATCTGTTCTGGTTTCGTGCTGCTGCTGCTGATGCCTTGTCGTGCTGAGGTTTTCATCCCTTATCGAGGTTTTCATGCCTTGTCGTGCTGCGGTTTTCAGGCGCTGTCGTGGTGAGGTTTTCATGCGCTGTCGTGGTAAAGTTGTGTTTCTGTCGTGGTGCTAATGTTTCTTGCTATGGTATGGATTCTTTTTGCGGCCGTGGTAACAACGCGCTCTCAGTGCTTGTTTTCTTCAGTGGCCACTGCGTAACTCGCTGTTTACGGCATCGAAGAAGAATATGATGGAGATGATGACGGCACATGCCATGGAAGGATCGCCATGCTGATTTCAACGATGATGGTGACGGGCGTGAAGACAACGACGAAGATGCCGATGGTTGCATCGGCATGGGCAGTAGTGATGATAAAGGTGATGGTTGCAATCATACTGATGCTCAAGATCGTGTTGGCTTTCTGGTGGTGATGAGAACAACTACAGCGGCATCGGCGATGACAACGACGACAACGATGTGGACTCGGACTTATTCGACTTCCTGCTGTCAGCATCGCCATCATCATCATACGTCATTTTGAGCATCATCACTCCGACTGTGTCGTTTTACTTCCTCAGTCTGCGGTGCATGGTGCTCAGTCCAAACATGTCTAAGTTTCTTACAACCATGCGTAGAGCTTCAGCGGATGTCCAGCTAAGCTTCCCATCCAGTGACCTGGCGGTGGAATGGCACTATCTTATCTCGCAACGATACGTTGTTGGCCTTTGAGTGTTGTTTCAACTTCGGAGTTTGTGGACTTCAAGCTAATTATCCACGAACCCAGCCATGTGCAGGCAGAGTTTTCGTGTACAATTTACTCTCTCTCGGCTTAGGGTTTCATGATGTTGCGGTTTATGGTTTCCGGATTTTTCGCTCGAACAACACTGAAGAGTGTGGCCCGCGAGGTTCTTCGTAGGTAACGAAAGCATCCAGGGCTGCGCAGATGTGTCGCTTGGCTTCACAGCATTGTTCTGGCACTATGTGTTTACGATGTTGCAATTTCCGTGGCGACTACAATGACGACGACCACCACGACGACTACAACGACGACAACGACCTTTGACTACGACGAATACGACTAAGACTACGACTACCACGACTACGACCACGACGATGCCGACAATTACTACTGCCAATGCTGCTGCTCCTGCTGCTGCCGCCGCTGTTCCTGCTCGTTATCCTGCTACTGCTGCGCTGCTGCTACGACGACGACTGCAACTACTACTAGTACTAGTACTAGTACTAGTACTAGTACTACTAGTACTACTGCT